CCATTCTCCTGCCTCAGCCTCCCGAGTAGCTGGGACTACAGGCGCCCGCCACCATGCCTGGCTAATTTTTTGTATTTTTAGTAGAGACAGGATTTCACCATGTTAGCCAGGATGGTCTCGATCTTCTGACCTCGTGATCCACCCACCTCAGCCTCCCAAAGTGCTGGGATTACAGGCGTGAGTCACCGTGCCTGGCCTTGAGACCGGATGTCTTAAAAAAAAAAAAAAAAAAAGCTATTTATTTTGACCAGGGAAATGCAAATCAAAACCACAATGAGATCATGCCGTTCACACCTACTAGGCTGGCAATAAAAAAAACAAACTGGAAAATGATGAGTTGAATGTGGAGAAGTTAGAACGGTCCTGTGTGGCTGCTGAGCAGGTAAAATAGTGCAGTCACTTTGGAAAAGAGACTAGCGGCTCTTCAAAAAGTTAAGCATAGAGACAGGGCGCGGTGGTTCACACCTGTAATCCCAGCACTTCGGGAGGCCAAGGCGGGTGGATCACTTGAGCCCAGGAGTTCGAGACCAGTCTGGGCAACATGGTGAAACCCCGTCTCTACTAAAAACACACAAAAAAATTAGCCAGGTGCGATGGCGGGCACCTGCAGTCCCAGCTACTCGAGAGGCTGAGGCAGGAGAATGGTGTGAACCCGGGAGACGGCGCTTGCAGTGAGCCGAGATGGCGCCACTGCACTCCAGCCTGGGCAACAGAGCGAGACTCTGTCTCAAAAATAAAATAAAATAAAATAAAAAATAAAAAATAATTAACCGGGTGTGGTGGTGCACGCCTGTAGTCCCAGCTGCAGGCGCTGTGTCTCCCTGGCGTGGCAGTGGCCAGGGCTGAGTGAGTAGGAGCAATGCCCTGCCCCGCTGCAATGGCAGGGAAGGGTGGAGGACTCCCGGCTGTGACCTCACTCCCGCAGGCCTGCTGATTGGCCCACCCCCGGTCTCCAGCCACCTGCTGCCGTCCATCACGGGGCCACCCTCCCCATCCTCCATCCTGTCCACAAGGCTCAGCAAAGCGGCTGGCGGGTAAGTGAGGCTCGGGGGTAAGGAAGTGAGGCTGGGGGAGTCCCGAGCAGAGGTGTGGGCTCCTGGGATGCGGAAGGGTGTTGCGGAGGACCGTAAGGGTCCTCAGTTCCTAGAGCTGCCCCCCACGCACACACAGGGGCCGCACACCAGCCTCCCATGCTTGTTGGGCCCCTCCCCCACGGCCACACGATAGGCCCCTTCCAGGTCTTGGAGCCCCAGGGCTGGGTGGTTTTTCAGCCTAGATATAGGGACACCCTAATCCCAGCAGCCAGAGGCCATGGAGACCCTGAAGAGTACAGCTCCAGGTCTGACTTGAAGCTCCTTGCGCCCTCCAGCCAATGGCACTGTCTCTAGCCTCAGTTTCCTTATCTGTCATATGGGAACAGAGTTAGTGGGACAAGGTAGGGTACTCTGTGTCAGGATCAGAAGACTGCCCCCGGGACCCTCCTCCCCTGCCCTGGCCTGTCACAACCAGAGCCAGGATGGTTCTGCTGCTGGGGCCCGAGCCTGTAGACTCACAGGGTCATGCGGCGGGATGTAAGTGCCCAGAATGGCAGGTCAGGATGGCCCAGAGGGAGACCCCATGATAGCAGAGGCTTGGGAGGGGCTGGGGCACCTGTTAGCCTGTCCTGCTGGCCTCGGGCACCAGATAAAAATAGTCCCTGGTCTCAGAGAACATGAGCTGACACTGGGGCCAAGAGTTTTGGTTTGGGGTGTGTCTGGGACTTACTGCTGTGTTGCCCTGCAGGGGCTCCCGCCCTCTCTGGGCCAAAGCAGCCTTGGCTGCTGTGCTGATGGATATTGGGCCCCAGCGAGGCTGGGCTACAGGGAGGGGCCCCAGGGCTGGCATGCAGGGTCAGGGAGATGCCTGGTGTGGGCGCTGGGCCATGCCTGGCATGAGTGTGAATTTCCCGAGTGAGGGGTGCTTGAGGCAGAGATCACAGCCTCGGTTGGGGGTGGCAGGACGGGGCCTGTTAGTTGGTGTCCACAGAACCTCCAGGTCAGGCCCAGGCCCATGAGGGACTCAGTAAATGCAAGACCTTGTTCCCCACCCCTCCCAGCCTGGCCTGGGACCTGCTGCTGCTCCAGTCATCTCCATGGCAACCAGCGCCTGGGAGGAGCTAGATGGCGGCCTGGGCAGCTGCCAGGCCCTGGAGGACCACTCTGCGCTGGCCGAGCCCCAGGAGGACAGGGCTCCAGGTACCCTTGTGGTGCTGGCGGGAGGAAGGCCCTCCCTGATGGTCCCCTTGAGCCAGGAGGCCCATCTTCAGAGACCAGAGCTTCTTAGCCTCCCACACTGGACTGGCTTAAACTGTGCTCCCCAGGTTCAACCCCTGGCCCTCATTTCTGCCTCAGGGGTCTGTAAGGAGCCCCCAAGGAAGACAGGTGCTGGGCTACACAGATCTAGGTTCCAATCCTGCGTTGCCACTGAAATGCTTTGTGTCTTCCGGCAAAGCTGTCTCCAAGCCTGTCTGCTTTCTTTGTATTTTTATATTTTTTTATTATTGTTATTTTTTATTTTTTGAGGCCGAGCCTCATTCTGTCTTCCATGCTGGAGTACAGTGACATGATCATAGGTCACTGCAGCCTCGACCTCTCAGGTTCAAGTGATCCTCGTGCCTCAGCCTCCCACGTAGCTGGGGCCACAGGTGCCGGCCACCATACCTGGCTAATTTTTTTTTTTTTTTTTGGGTAGAGATGGGGTCTCACTGTATTGCCCCGGCTGGTCTCAAACTCCTGGGCTCAGGTGATCCTCCCACCTCAGCCTCCCCAAAGTGCTGGGATTCCAGGTGTGAACCGCTGTGCTGGCCTCCGCCTACTTTCTTATCCACAAGATGGGGTTAGTCACCCGCGCGTCACCCGGCAGGGCCAGGGGAGAGGGTGGGATTGGCCTGGGGGGTCCCCACAACCTTGACTCTCCCTCTGTTCTCACAGCAACACCCAGGCTGGCCGACTCCGGCAGCCCGCCCCACGTGAGTAGCTGGGACCCTCAGCCTTTAACCCAGGACGCCTGGGGAGTTGGGGACAAGCCGACCAAGGGAGGCAGGTGTCTAAAGCCCACGGGAAGGGTTTGGCACTGGAAGGAAACATGTGGAATGTCTCATGATAACCACAGGACTCTCAGGAGCCGGTGGCTGAAGGCTGCAGTGTGGACACCAGGCCCAAGAAGATGGAAAAAGAACCTGCCGCCAGGGGGACCCCAGGAACGGGGAAGGAGAGGCTGAAAGCTGGAGCGAGTGGGTTTGCAGGAGGCATGGGTGAGGTGTGGGGTGGGAACGGACTGGTGTGAGGCTCAGGTCCCGGAGCTGGGTCCTTGGATCTTGGGGGGTGTCCTGGTTGAGTGGCATCGAAGTGTGGCAGGCAGCGAGTCAACGGGCCGGGAGCCTCTACTAATGCGTGATAATACCGGCTAAGCCACTCAGCTCCCGGAAGTTAACTTCCAGAAACTCTGGGTATCCCCGTGCAGCTGCGGGGCACCGGGGCTGGGTTCACCTGCGCCCAGGGCCGCACAGGCAGGCAGGGTGAGCCGGGTTCAGGGCGCAGGCCTCTCTCTTGCCCCCTGTGCCCGGGGAATGGGGCGGCGCAGAGCCAGTGGCCACAGCGCAGCACGCACTTGCTGCCGCAGGCCCTCGGAGCGCCCCCGCGCGCAAGAAGGCGCAGACCGCGCCGCCCCCGCAGCCGCCGCCGCAACCCCCGGCCCTGAGCCAGGAGCTGCCCTGGGGAGACCTGTCGCTCAACAAGTGCCTGGTGCTCGCCTCGCTGGTGGCGCTGCTGGGCTCGGCTTTCCAGCTGTGCCGCGGTGAGTGCGGGCTCCCCAGAGGTGGGGCGAGGCTGGGGTCCACCTGTGCGCCTATTCCTCCAAGGAAGGGCCCTGTGACGCAAGGGTGGGGTCTGGGAGCCTCCTTCCCAGGGCTAGGTTTTGCACGCCTCCAAAGTTGGTTTGTGCATCTCCCCTTAAGTGACGGGCCTTGCGCGCCCCTCTCACCCCGTCTGGACCTTTTGCGGGGCCCATTTCCCTCGCCGCGAGTAGGTTCTGGCTTCCGGATGGACCTTGTGCAACCCCTCCTCCCGCGCAGCGTTCTGCCGCCTTCCTCCTGCGCCCTCTCTGGGGACAGCTCAGCTAGTGAGCGCCCCCCGGGGTCACTCCTGCGACCTGTCCCTTGCTAGGGGTCTCCTACAGCCCGTGGTCGGGGGGAAGAATGACGGATTGAAAGAGCGAGGTTCGGAGGAGGGGCGCTCCGCAGCAGCGGAGTCCCGGAGTCCCTTCCCACGGCTCGGGGCATCCTTAGCCTCAGCCGTGCCGCGGGAGCCGCACTCCAACTGTCCAGGGAGAGGGGCTCTAGCGGTGAGGGACGGATGGACAGTGTGGTCCATGCCTCGACCCAGCTGACTCGGGTCCCGACCCTGTCGCTGCAGACGCCGTGGCTGGGGAGGCAGCAGTCCAAGCGCGTGCGCCCGAGCCCTGGGTCCCGCCAAGCTCAGCCCCGAGGGAGCCATCGTCGCCCCTGGTAAGCGCTTCCTTCCAGTGACCGCGGGCAGTGGGGCCTTCATCCCCAGGGAAAGAAGGAGCCCGGGCCGGGGGCAAGGTGGGCGCTTACCCCAGGACCCCACTCTGTCTTGCAGCCTAAGTTCGAGGCCCAGGCGCCCCCATCAGCGCTGCCTGCGCCCCGGACCAAGGCAGAGATCAGACCCAAGATTCCCGGGAGTCGGGAGGCTGCAGAGAAGGACGAAGAGGAGCCTGGCGAGGCCACCGGAGAGGCCGTCGGGGAGGACCGTGCGCCCCTCGCAGACCGGGGACCCAAGGAGAGGCCTCGGAGAGAGGGGAAACCGCGGAAGGAGAAGCCGCGGAAGGAGGAGAGGCCGAAGAAAGAGAGACCGCGGAAGGAGGAGAGGCCACGGGCCGCCAGGGAGCCCCGGGAAGCCCTGCCTCGGCGCTGGGAGTCACGCGAAGGGGGCCATCGGCCGTGGGCACGGGACTCCAGGGACGCCGAGCCCAGGAAGAGGCAGGCCTGGGTCTCCCCGAGGCGTCCCGACGAGGAGGAGCGGCCTGGGAGTCGCCAGAAGCTCCGCGCAGGCAAGGGGCGGGACTAAGCCGGCCCGCGCCCGAGTCCAGGGACCCCTTCTCCACAACCCGCGACTCCGGCGAAATAAAGCGAGGGCTGCGGCCGCAGAGTCATCTGCTTCTTTACGCCTGGACCCGGCAACGAGTCCGGGGCCTGAAAAACCGTCGCGGGGCGCTTCAGGCAGGGGAAAGACAGCGAGCGCCACAGGGTGGACCCAGGCCGTGCGCAAGGAGAGACAGGCGGCCCCTCTAACACGCACGGACACCCCACTCGGTTGCTTGCTGGTCTTTATTGGGGCGATACTTGGGGCCCGAATAAATATGGGAAGGGGCGCGAGCTGGGGCACGTCCGGCCCCTCGGGGCAGGAGTCCGATAGGCGCAGGGGTCACCGACAGCCACACTCGGTGGCCACCATGTTGGGCACGTGGTGCGCGCTGATGCGCTCCTCCGACAGGCTGATGAGCAGCTTGCCCGCGTAGGCAGTGGGCACGCAGCAG